TGTGTCACGAACACTGCTTGTAATGCACGTATGGGTATGGTACTGATTGCCAGACTTCGGTTTTCTAGCGAATTATCTGTCGCCTATTATTTCCTATTATTTATTCAGATGGTCACTTTGTCAATTTCCCTTTGATGTCCACTGAATTTGCATAAAGCCATAATACTCGCAAGTCGCAGTGATAATTAGAACCTCATTCATCTTAGTGTTAAAATCTAACAGGACAAGATACCTAGTAAAGTTGTGGTACCATCTAGGAATTTTAGGCAAACTGAGTTTTTGCACAGTTCTATTGTGTGTTGCTAACATCAGTAGTGGTCAGTGGGCTTTACTGTGTCTCAGATAAATGGCAAAACTAGATTATAAATGAATTACAATCTATAACGTGTCACACGGATTAAATTTAGGATAGCCTGGATGACGCAACTAACGTACTGCGGCATCAGCTGTCTTGAAATATCTCTTAGGCTTTTTAACTTGTCGTTCAGAAATTTAGGCTTCCGGATGTATTACTGGACTTGTTAAAGCTGTCTAGGAAGTCCTAATCGTGGGATTATCGACTGGAATTAACAAACAGTAACTGGAACGTCTATGCGAAAGCTGCGATCAGTTGTGGATAGTGTTTAATTTGAAAGTAACTGTGTCAGATATCGAGTCGATCGAACAACCTGATCATTGCTCACAAGTGAAAGTGGTTGAACGTTCACATATAATAATTCGGTAGTGCCTAATGTGAGGTCAGTGACGCAGTGATCAACACGATTGCCTCAATGAAACATGGTTGGAGTTTTAGTCCAGGCCGTGGCAAGGAATGCACAATTGAGAAGCCCTAATGAGAGAGGAACTCGAGTTTAGTGGTTATATTCGTAAGGGGCCGACTATGGGCCGACTATAGGAATGTGACAGCTGCGATCAATTTTAGGTGATTTTCAACCTGAAATTAACCAGATCTTCGACTACTCATCAGTAGTCTGAAACTACATGAACTGAAGGCTTTCGATAGTGTTCAACTCCTTAGGGCAGTTTTGCATGCAGACTTGGTGTATTTCTCTTGTAATTGAAGTTGCCTATCTCATGCACATTTAAGAAAACTAACCCAGCATGGTTATCAGAATCTTCTCGGCTAAGTCCAGCTTTGTCCTACCTTTTGTTACTGTTGTTAGGGGAATATTTCAGTCTCATGGTGAAATGCACCGATCTTATGTTTGATAAACTTCGATTGAATGTATTGTTCGCTCATCCCAGGAAATTTTCCAAATTTGTGCTGTTGTACTTACTGACCTCTTCTGTTCACTTTAGTGCGATCGTTGTGCTCACCGTATAGCATCATCTCTAACGTCCCGAACACATAACCAAGTAAACAGGAAACGTTGAAGCCTTCATCAGTCCTAGATCATCACATGATTTTTGCGAAGAGTCTGTCTTACCGAACGCCAATAGGGCTTCAGCCGCGGGACTCATTCCCGAAGGATTAGTTTATTGAGAATTTACTCAGCATCCTGTCCCGAATAATACAAGGCCTAAACAATGAGCGCCTAATCAGCAGAAATATGTTTGAAAATTTATCAGTCTTTTTCCGTTCATTGGCTAGCACACGCCGATGTAGACTGGGTTAAACAAGAGACCTATGTAACATTCATCCACGAAGACAATTAGGGATCGTTCGGAATTTGAGTGGCTCCTTTTCTTGTTCATCTCCGAAAGTGGCCGTCATGAGGGTTAAGTTAAGAAATACTTGTTTGCAATAAATTACAAAGGTTATAAAACCGTTAACATTAGCTGAAGCAGGGATCACCGGATAAAAATTGTGACTGCTTCACAGTATCATTTAGCTTCACTAATCAAAAACTAAAGAATTTATATAAATCGTCTACTTCTCTCAGCAGGCGTTCACGAATAATTTTATCGAAGGTTCTCTAGAATCACGTTCGCAACGTGTGGATCTGCCTTGCTACTAAAGTAGTCCATAACAGATGTTATGTCTGCCTGCCCTCACTTGGAAACACTTTTATGACCGTCACAGTATGCAGCAGATGCAAGTTGGTTGTTAGTGTAAAAATTCACTTATGCTAAAACCAACCCCCGTGGTGCATGTCTGACAATTGTAGAAACAGAGAAACACTCTACTACAATAGTTGAGTGACTGTTGAAGGTCAGAATTTTTACTCGGTTTCTGGAAAGAAGACTACTGACTCAAGCAGTGATCAGCACTATGTTTCACGTTAGAAAGCAGAAAGTTGAAATAACTGACAATTTTGACGCTCAAATTTGCATGAAAGTAGACCACTAGTAACTTACAGCAGAGTATAACTCAACATACATGGTTAAGTATGATAATTACTTAACGCCAGCTCAGGTGTGTTATGTAGTGCTTTGTTCCATTATCCTACAATACTTTGCAGTTCCAATGATTGTTACCATGGCCGTGTGTTGGTTATGAAAGCGGCTACATTATATGAACTTTGTGCACCCCTGAAAAAGCAGTTGATGACAGGTAGTTGTGAGCAGTCAAGAATTTGTGAAAATCAACAGTGTTTATTCAAATCGTACTGGCCCAGTATGAGTTAGTCATACAATTGACCGACTTGGCCAATTAGAACAGTAACAGATTCGAGCTGTCTTCAAATTTATCCTGATATGAAACTCAGAGTTAGTGTTATATGCACCACCTGAATGCAACTGGTGAGTTGACATTCACGTAGCACACGGTAGCCCCGAATGATTGATGGAGGTGGTTTTGGGAATTTCTATGCTATCCCTTCCTCATAGTGAGTACAAACTTAATGACTTAAGACGACGGTTCGCGCATTATGATGTTTTGTAATATATAGACAGGTACCTAACTGTTGTAGCAGAATGAACGTTCTCCCGTTTGGAAAATTCTCCTCCTACTTGCGTTCGATTCGCAACAAGCGCTTACAAGTAATAATTGCATAACAAAAATTCACATATTACTTATCTTGACCACATTACGCCAAAATGACGAGAATATTACCTATTTCAGTGATAGTCTACAATCGGTGAATCCACACAGTCATTACAACCATGGTTGTTAAACACAGTCCACTACTTCTGTTAACCCTTTGATTCACTCGTATCATTCGGTTCGAAGTCTAAATAGTGGCAATACATGAAACATATTCATTCAGCCAAACGACTAAAGTTATTCAAGTCTCAAGATAATGTACTTTGTGTGTATCTATAACGTATGCCTCTTTTATCGACTCATCTTCTAAAACTTCCACAGATATACTCCTATCAGTTTTTTAGAAATTTGTGTCCTACTGCTTTATTTAGATGGTAACTGATGCGACGAATACTAATGAGTAGCTAACGTATTTGACCAATATTATATATATATATATATATTCAGTGATATGTATGTATATGGATCGAACAGCATTCATATCCATCAGCACATTTTACATTCGCACTATTTTTGGCCACACCTGTGGGAATGGAAAAAACATTTGTAAGTTATCGCACGTAAAACATTGCGGTTGTACGTTCAGATGTTGAAACGCAAACGCATTGGTGATGGATACCGGTACACATCCATTACTTACACTGCGTAAAGGACACTCAAATTCCCGATTATGGTAGGGATGCGCATCAATGATTAACTACAGTTTGAGTGAAACTTGAATCTGATGTTTTATTATGAAATAGCCTGGACGATAGCATTATCTGGAAGTAAAACTTGAATTCAGAAATGAAAATCAATTACTCACTGTTGCTTAATGTTCTAAATGAGTTTGGTGACGCCAACTTCATAGAGAAGTTCAGACTTTAGGAGATTTTGCTGAAAATAACTAAACCATCATTATGTTTACTCTTAAAGCGATCGACAAATGTGAATATTACATACGTACAAAAGTAGCGCAGTTTGCACGCAATAACTTGGTCGTTCCACTTATAAAGTGCTTAGGGCGGTGATCGTCATGGTCGCCTACTGACAGAGTGGGTCAGAGTTTAAATCTGGGATGTACACTACAGCTATGAGAATCTCTGAGAAGTGGACTTCAAATGCTAAAAGCAGGGAAGGCAGAATTACGAGCATAAGGTCAAAGGATACTTTTATGCTCTACTCCCTTCAGATTATTTAGTTCCTGAACCGGTAGGTCCACACAACTATCCAAATTCTATGATTAACACAAGATTGATCACGTCCCAGAAACTCTCCATAGTGAACTGGAATACTCTACTGATCAACCAATCTTTTTCATTAGAATTCAACAAAAATACAAGAGGGAAAATGGTTAAAATAGCTGCTGGTCACATCTTCTTACACCAGGAAACGCGAGTTGATTTTCCAATGATCAGAGATTTCCTTTTGTAAACGAATTAAACCGGTTGGCCTTGACAAACCTAGTGCATGCATTCTTAAAACGTTACATAAGTGTACTTGGTTTGCATCACTCTTTTCCAAATCAGTCGTAAAGAGAACAGCAAACCCCTCAGCATCTTCCACAGGGATTAATCTACTGGTAACTCCGTTAAGAAGTGACGGACGAACACCAAAAGTATATGGTGGTTATTGCATTAATGTGAACGAGTGGTCGGAACAGAGCAGTTGAACGACGAAGGAATATGAGGACATCCTCAATGATTCGATGTTCTGAAGTTTTCAAATTACCACCTCAACCCTTTACATATTTTCAATCAAATGTACAGACGATATGGCCAGTTTATCTCAGCTGCCAAGTCGGTCAGATTCTGGTAGTTTGTCTCCTAACACACCCAGATATTAGGTGGTACCCAATTGAAAAAAGTGAGAGCTTCAATTGGATTCGAACCAGCGATAGGAACATCATGCCTCAACGCGGCAGGCGCACTACCGCGCCAGGAGCTCAACAGTGGCATTGATGGATGCCGCTGTGAACTGTTGGAGAAATCCTGCCGTGGTAGTCGATCCCCTTGAATGTTTGGTGGATTCCATATGAGACAGTGGGATGAGTGTGTAATCGAGTCCAAATGTGAAATTCCCGGGCTCCTGGAGTGGCTTTGTAGCTCACCTGGCTCGGTGTTGAAGCATGGTGTTTCTGTCGCTGGTTCGAATCCAGCCGAAGCCTTGATTCTTCAAAATCTGGTCTCATCTAAAATCATAAACCTGCCACACTGCCTATTAGTAGTGCACCCAGATATGGTAGAATCTTTTCCGCGCTCGATAAAAAGAGTCACTAGGCGAAACCTTCCAATGCATGCTCCTTGCTTCGTGTAAAATAGGAATCTTCACCTTGTTAGTTTGCTGTTGAATAATTGGAAATTAATTTGAGGAAAACATTGACGCCTTCATTTCATGTGATTTATGTTTTAACCAAAGTCCGCGAACTTCCGTTTTACTTCTCGCGTTTAGCTTCTCTCTCTAGTCTCCACCACCTGGTTAGTCAGTTTAATAATGGCTCATGTGTCCTCTCACAGGATGTGTTGTTCACGTGTTATTTTCCTCGGTTCATTATCAACAGACTTTGGAGTTTTTGCAAGAGTCGCAAAACATCTGTCTCGTTGTATGGACATTCTCGGTAAACAATTCTTTGATTTTACAGTTTCCTGTCATCCAAAAATTTCCGTGCAATTTTCAACGGAACAGTTTTCCGACACCATCCATTCCTGTATTTGAATCTTTCCAGGTATGTTTACACATCTTCCATCAGACCTTTATGCAACCATTTATTTGAACGTACCCCGTCCTAGTGTTCTTCAACTTTTTCTTATGCGGCTAGATTTTTACCCAAACTTAACCCCTTCATCCTTAAATTATTCTCAAAATCAGATAAATGAATAGTTACCACAATTAATATTAATCGGGACTAATGTTTTTCAGCATGTACTCGATTTTCATGATTGTGACAATATTTCTTTGGTGTAGACACACTTACTTTGAGGTCCTCTAAATGTTACAAATTCATATCTAGCAATCCATAAAGTTTTTTACTGAAAAAAAGCGTTCGCTTGCAAACGCACCTAGTTTATTATCTGCAATAACCTTGCTATCTGGACATTTCAGTTATATACTTTCACCTTTCGGATTAACGACCTCTTCAGTAACATCTCACGACATAGTGAACTTTATCTGATAATGTTGAGCGGGTCGCAGTCTTGCCATAGGTATACATGCTGATGGGATGAATCTTTAACTTGAAAGGTTTGGTTCTCATAATATCATTTATTCTGACAAGTGTTCTTTTGTGAACTGTGATTACGAACGTCATCGTAAATGAAGGTGAACATTTTGAGACTCGCGGTTACCAAGTTGGAAACTATAAAATAAAGCTGTTTCAGAAACTAGGTTCATAAAAAGTGATTTCAAACTGATCCCCAATGATTTTCTTTTCTGCCCAAAGATCTTACTCCGACGACTGCTGATGACTTGTGTTCGGTTGGGTTCGTCTCAAAATTTCGAGTTTAAAAAATGCAGAATCCCTCCCTCTGTTTCTCACCTAAAACAGATTTGCTTGGACCAAATGTCATGAGTTTTGTGTTGTGGCGTATGCCAAACTTTCTCACCACAAATGCTGCTTCACGACCATTTTTTCTAGGCGAATTTGCCATGTACACGCACAATGATTACACACGTGCAAGATGAACAACCGATTTTGTGTGTGTGCAACACCGCTTAGCCCAGCACAGCGTAGTTGTATTCAAGCCCAAAACAGAAGCTTTGTACTTACTGGGATTTGACTAGACTACACAACCATTTCTTTAGTTCACATTTTACAATCACATATAACCATGAGATTTTGAATTTTGTTTACCTACCCAGCAAATCGATGGACACACTTTCACCGACTATCCATTCACAATGGGACTTGGTTGCTAAGCCTAACCTAATGACATCCAACATAGTCTTTTCGAATACGTGTAGCACGCCGACTGCTTCTCATGATAAGCTTATCGTAAAGAGGGGGAAAATTTACTTGGCCAACAACTGGGTTTTATTAGCCAGCAGAACGAATGTGATCTCTAGTAGGATGATGTATTTCCGTTGTGTTGTTCCGTTTGTACACATAGACTGGAATAGTTGAATATGAAGCGCAGTTGTTTAACAGTTTAAACTTGTTGCGAAGAGATTCCGAACAGTACAGGGTCATTTCATGCTTATGCGAAAGAATTATTGTGTCTGGAACACTCCGCACAGTGATTGCGCACTTTGGTTCCCTTCATATGGTACGACTGAAAATCTTGTCACGTTTGTCATGTGGTGTCTGCAGGCTGATGCCCACACGACAAGCAACTGTGCCACTTTTGTGCAGGATTGTCATTAGAAACCACTCAACTCTGTTCCGTTGCCGATGTCGTGTGGGGTTTGGTAACACTTACATATGGATTATTGAGAGCTGTTTCTGGATAATTGTTATGCCTTAATCACACTTAGCCCTGATCAGGGTTGGTGAAAGATGTAGTCAACAATTTCATCATATGCTGACTGCATGATTCTTGCATATCTTAAGACATTTAACAAGGTAATTCCTTGTACACTAAACGACGTCGAAGGCATTTCACCGCGCAAAGTTGGGCGACTGGTTGAATGGTAAAAGTTTTCGGGTTTCGCTGGCTGCACCCAGACACTCTGTATATAACAGAGCTGGCGATAGCATCATGTTTACTTCGAAATGTGCCCTAATACCCTTTAGTACAACCACTTACGTTGTCCGCGTTAGTGATGCCGGGGATGTTTCAAATTATTACGCAGATGCAGTTCATAGGATAAAGAAAAAAGTCCAACGAAGTTTATGAAACACCTTGTCCACAGAGTGAACAAGCATATTATAAAACCAACGAAAGTTGTCTTTCATCGAGGCAACAAGTTTTGACCAGTTGGCATAATAGAACTGAATAGCGCCTATGCTCGCGTATATGCAGCACAATTGATACACGTGATGCTTCGAGGTAATTCAATTTTGTCGACCAACATGTACGTAATTCTTGACTGTGGATATGCTATGTGACAGTTGAACTTCTGTTTTCGACCTTATTTCATAGTGAGATCGATTACTATCGATGCACCAGCAGTTGGGCGGGCCAATACAAGAACCTGAGAGCGGTAACACTATAACAGCTCGTATTCATTCAAACTGAGACGACTGTAAAGATTGTAAGTCACAGGTAAACTTTTGTTATCTTACTGTCCATACAATTATGATGTGCTTTCTTCTAATTACATCAAAACGTCATCGATTTATTTGCTACGTTATCTCTACTGCGTAAAATGTCACTTCTGTTTAAACTGCGCATGGTTGTGAGTACTACTGTGTATCTGGAACTGCTGCATAGAACCATCAGTCGAACCACGTTTAAGACTGCTCATCAGGCTCATCTAATCTAATTAACGGATATCAAGATCAGTGCGTTTATTGAGCTGTAAACGTTCAAACTACACGTCTTATTGTATACCTCTGAGAAAGCTGCTACTGACCAGCACGATGTTTCCACAACGTGACGTCAGTTTACTGGAATATAGAACCGAACAGTAACAGAACAAAAACGTCAGTATTTTTGGATTCCAAATGTAAGTATGAACTTCAGAACAGATGTTGATATATATATATATAAACCATATGGACAAGTCCTATATGGGTATTCCAAGCGGTCTTGAAGTATAGCCCTCATTGTTTTCTGATATACGTGACCATTAAGCTTCGGATGAATACTCCTCTGTCGTCAGAAGTGTCTCCAGATTGGCAAATATCGCCCTAGCCTTGGATATACGCGCCTCTACTTCATCCCATACACCTCCGCCGCCATCGCTAATACAGCTTCCCAAGTAGATAAACTGATCAACAATCTCCACGGCTTCGTTATCTAATATTATTCCACGTAATCACAGCAATATTCCTGAGGCATTTTGTATTTTGAGGATGCAAAGCGCATTCCGAAGTACTCAGTAGAACGCGGAATAGTCTCTAGAGTTTTTGTACTGCTTAGAAAGTGTCAAACAACAACATTTGTCGTCAGCATGATCAAGATCAACAAGTCTTCCACCAGGTAAGAGATCCACGCCGGAATCGTTCTGAGTCCAACAGACAGCTCTCTATTATTTCGTCTGTCGCAAAAATTTAACGAAAATTACATACGCCGCTGACGTTGTTGAAGCTGTCAGATAGTTCACCGTAAACCCTAGCCTGAGGTGAAGTATGGGAGTGAAGCTTCGAAAGTATGTTCAAATACTTGGTAGGAATACCTCTGTGTTTCGACAATTCTAAGAGTGTACATCGATCCACCGACTCGAACGCACCTTTATAGTCGGGAAATACAGCAATTATTGGCCAGCGGTACACATGACGCTGCTTCAGAATTTGACGAAGAGTGGAAATATGATTCGTAGATACCATCATGGTGAAAGCCTGATTATTCCTCTCTACTGTTTGCCTTCCGAACTGCAGTGAGCCGACGAAGAATAATGGATACCAAAACCCTAATGATGACTGGCGTCAAGCTAGTTTTCCTATGGCCTTCGCAAGAGCCTCTGATACCTTTCTTGAATATTTGAACTATTATCGCGTCACTCCAGCATGGAAGGATGGCCTACGTCATCCATACAAATTGAAACAACTGAGTCTAAGCCTCTACTAACGCCACCCAACCTTCTACGGAAAGTGCCAGCACGAGATCATTTGGACCAGTAACCATATTACGACTGAGAACCGAGATGCAATTACGGACCTCAGTCTCAATGGATGATTCCAAATCTACCGACCAGGGTGATACGTTACAAGTTTGTGACAACAACATAATAGAAGCAGGAGACAAGCTAACCTGACTCTCAAAATGTTCCGCCTGATGCTCTACCCTTCTGGACTTATTACAAATGAGCGTGCCATCTGTCTAGCTGTTAGCTTCAGTGACAGACGGTCGCCTGGGATCATAGTCACGGATAAATCCAAAGAGTTTGCCCGTGTTCCCTGATACAAAAGCAGTCTCCATTTCCTCAAATGTTTCCAATGACCAAGCCTCACGATAAACGTTTAGGCTACGTTTCAGCTTCCTACGAATATCTCTTTCAGACTTTTCATGTGAACTACTAGGAAAAACCTTCTGTCTGGCTTCTAACAACTCCAGGGATTCTTTTGAG